GCTGCCATCTTCAGACTCAAACTTTCCTTCGGGACGGTACCGCGTCCCTTGATATGTTATATATATGTATATATATGTACATGTATATACATGTATATATATACATATATGATATGCAGCATGATAGTATGCGTATCTTTATATCCGAGATCCAATGAAATGTTTATATAATTTCGTTGACCCAACATGAAACCAGGTTGTTCAACGGTAAACTGTTTTGCTTTTTATTAATAAGAGGCCCAACTATTTATTGCAGTTTACGACGATTCACGAGGTAAAAGTATAATTGCACGTCGCGTATCCGTTTACAAACGTTCAGTGGAAAGTGCGAGAGTTCGTAAATAAGTCGAGGGAGGTTACTGGCCATTGTGGAAATTAAATCGGCTGTTTAAATTCAATCGGACGCGTACAAGATAACTCAGTGATACACGATAAAGGTGAGCCCGTGTCGCGGAGAAAGAGAAAAGGAGGAGGAGTAGTAGTGTAACAAGAGGTACGATGAATCGAGGGGAAAGCGGAATGCGTTTACCTTGTGAAAGGATGAAGAAGGAAACGAAAGCGGGCTCTCTCTCACGTTCTTACGCAGCTGAGAAGATGCTCTCGTAAGAAATCCGTAGCTGAGAAACCCTGGAAAACTATCAGAAGAAGCGGGCGAGGGACGGACGGGATCCGGCGGGAGGGGGGGAGAGGAGCCAGGAGGCAACTTTCACATGATGCCACCGCGTGAATCCCCGTTTCGGCTTCCTGCAACGCGTCACTTGCTGGATCAAGAGTACAGACGCTATGTCGTGAAAGGAGAGGGTCCTCGACCTCCTTCAAAATCAGAACAGTTCTCCTCCACCTCCTCGTCCTTTCCTTCTTCATACTATTTAAACATCGAAATATCTACTCAGCATTTGATATTATTAATTGTTTTATACGTTACACGAGACATTCATCATTTCTGTATACTCAAGTTACTTATAATTGCATAAGATATGCAATCTAATAATGGAACATGATAATCGATATTCATCATCGACATAATTCATGTAAGTTAAAGTAGATGTTTGAAATAGCATGACATGATTAGTCGTTCATTGACTCTTTCCTTAAAGGAGAAGGACGAACTTTTTCAAAATCAGAGCAAACCTCCACTTCCTCATTCTTCTCTTTTTGATAACGTTAGACTAAAAAGGTGTGACGACTGACACCTGGTTTGATTGATGCAAAGTACATGTTTGCAATATGAGTTGATTACTCATTAAGGGGTCTTACCAGTGTGAATTAAAAAAAAAAACCGATTTTTTTTTGCATTTTTCGAAAGTTTATACCTTCAAAAATATCATACAAA